CTTTTTCTCTTATAACAAATATTTTCAACATGTCAGAGTCATCAATTCTCTCAGCAAGCACCATGAAAGCCAGAGAGTGAGCAGGCCAGTTCATGGAAGTCTGCTCTCTTTCATGCTTGTTTTTTTTCCCCACACTTCACAAAGCGAGGTTCACTTTTCACATGCTACATCTCTGCTGGCACAGCGGAAACACACTGCCATTACCCTCTCTGAAATGCCATCAGCAGTATTCTGTATACCTATATATTTTAAAGCTATTTTGTGAATTTCAGTATGGCCATCTGCCACCATGGAAAATGTGAATTTTAAGAGAAATGATATTCACAATATGCTCTTTTTCCCCTCTTTTCTCCCAGCAGCCACCCAAGCAGCCTATTTCTCCCAGCAGCCCCAAGACCAGGTGGTTGTATCTGGTCAGTCAGTGACTCTACCTTGTGTCATTGTGGGTTACCAGGGAATGGTACAGTGGACCAAAGATGGCCTTGCACTGGGTGGAGAGAGAGACCTACCAGGTATTATCACTGACCTCTTATTTCTGTTTCTCCCTCCTGTGTGTTTATTGCGCTCTCTGTCTGTCTGTCTTCCTGGGATCAGTGCCAGGTCCCATTAGAAACCAAGTCTCTCTCTGTCAACCATTGGGGTTTTACACAAATGAATGTTGAGAGAACAATGTACTATAGACAGGTCAGCCACTGCTGCACACACTGAACTTTAATTTGTTGTTTAGCATTTTAAGAGTCTTGTAGGAAGGTGGATAATCAATTGGCTTTTGTCACCCACTGACATTTAAATGTGAGGTAGACAAGACAGAAGGTGGAGAGGCTTCCTCTTGACCTCAGCCAGCCTATCTTTATTATGTCTGTGTTTAAAGGACAGACTCCATATGCAGCGACTCTCTCATGTGTTGCATTTCTAGCCTCATGCTGCTCTGCTAACATGACGGCTCAATGCCCGGCCCAGTGAGGTGCTGCTTGCTTTCATCTGTGTCTTAAAGATCCTTGCCACGTTTCCCTCACCTTTGTTCATGGCACAAGTCTGTTCATTTTATAGTCCTTTCATTATGTTTGCTGTCGGTTGGTTTTGTTTGTCTCTGACCATTCTTTCGGCTGGCTTCATGCAGGCTGGATGCGGTATTCTTTAATGGGCGACCCGGTATCAGGCGAGCACAGCTTGCTGATCGATTCGGCAGAGTTGGCGGATGACGCGGTGTACGAGTGTCAGGCTACACAGGCGGCACTGCGCTCCCACCGTGCCAAACTCACTGTACTAGGTAAGATATACAGCTCATGTGTGATCCTCACAGCCAGTCCTCATGCCTGGCCTGCAGTCTGGCAGCAGCTGGGAACAATCAGGGGAGAATCATCATCACACAATACACAGTCATGTAGACAAATATATAAATAACACATATATAATATATAAAAAGCTATCACCTTTAAAACACAACTTGACATAGACAAATAAAAAATACATCAAAAATAGTCAAAGTGATTTGTATTTTATAGAATAATTTTTTCATCACTCAAAGACAAAACAATTAGAAATGTAGCTCCCTGGTGAAAATCATGTCCTGACAGCATAAATCAAATCAAGCAAGACTCTGCCAAAAGACTCAACAAGGTAAGAAAAGGAAACCCCTCTGCTCTCAGTGGCGATAATCAAGATCATGGATGTCTGGGATAATGTGATTGCTGCAGTCATAAATGACTCACGTAGTCACTTTAAAGTTAGGGTTTGCACAGTTAGCACATTTTACAGTGAGCCACAACATCAACTACGAGGTGTTTTTTTTTTTTTACATTAATGTGACATGAGTGATCTACATCTTCACATAGACATTTAGAGGTGGGTGGTGAGAAGGAGGAGGAGGAGGAGGAGGAGGAAGGCCAGGTCTTGTGGGAAATGCAATCAGCAAAACACTGCTGGCATCTACTGGCATCCAAAGGAATGTCACTTCATTAATTAGTCCTGTCATTTGTCCATAAATTCACCTACAAGCTATTATAAGGCAGAACAATGGGAAAGCTCAGAGGGAACAGTTACACAGGCATGATGCTGCCACTTATGTCACAACACAACACAGAGCTTCAACCACAGAGACTATTTAGATCTATCTGTTGCCATTAAGGTGTGTATTCTGAGTTTACTGAGGCCGAGTGACAAGTGGTCCAGACAGCGTTGCCATGGAAAGGCAAGTACATTGAGATCACAAGCAGAATGACAGATAGACTCATCTCTGCTCATCAGCCCACCTTGCTGTGTCTAGTGTCACTGTCGAAGCAGCACAGAGCATTGTGGTCATCACATGCCCACACACACTGCCATAAAGGCGCTCGTGTGGAGGAGGCAAAAAAGTTGATAAAACTGTCTCCCCTCCATTAAAGGCACGCTGAAAGACCAAGGCTGGTGGTTCATGAACATTACATATTTTTCTTAAACATGTGAATGAAATCAGGTACATGGCTCAGGAGACTCCAGTTCATGTTAATGTGTGGACATATGGAGTGTTAAAGAGAGCATGCATATGTGTGCGTGCATGTGTCTTTATGTGTCTGTGTGCAAATCAATGTGGTCAGATGAGACCAAAGCAATCTTGCACAGTCAAAGGAGTCAACGGCAGGAGTGCAGTCAGGGGAATTGGCATGGAAATTAAAATCACCTAGCACTCGGATTCCATTAGTGTCCGTGCCGCGGCAGCGGAAGGACCTCTGACAATTCAGATACACACAGCGAAATTGGTTCGGTAGAGGGAGCGAGAAAGATGCCTTCATCAGGTGTGGCACGCTTGGCTTGCCAGTGGTGCGTGCGAAACCATGCAAATAAATGAACAAATAAGCAATTCAGCCAAAACATCACACTGCAACAGTAAGAGCAAATAGAGTAATAACGGTAGTCCCAAGAAAGGAAATAAATAAGGTTGAGTGTTGTTTTTCCAAATGACAACTGTTCTTAGTCTTTTCTCCTGAATGAAACAACACCTTGTTAAACAGACACATGACCATCGGAAGACACTGTTTACCTGCTTTGCTGGTGCAATATATTGCAACTGCGAGCTCAATATCAGGATAACGTCTTTGTGCCTCTGTGCTGGCCTGGAACTGTAATGAGGCTTTTTTTGAGTGGTATGTTTATTCTGCTTTACAGTTCCTCCTTCAGATCCTGTGGTGGAGGGGGGCCCTGTTGTACGTCTTAAGGCCCACACACCACACAACCTCACCTGCAGAGCCTCGGGAGCCAAACCTGCTGCTGAGATCACCTGGTACAGAGATGGAGAGGTCATGGAGACTGCAATTTATTCCAAGGTACAGTGAGAACAGATCTTTGCCCAGCATTATCATTCAATCACTAACACCCACACAATATTACAAAATGTAACAGCGGGCAGAAATAAATGCAAAGCTATTCAAAACAGAAATATTTTCTCTTAGGGTATAATACTCCCTTCTATTTTTCTTCCATTTCTCTTTATATTTTTCTCATCTTCCATGGTCTCACAGTTTTTTATCACCACCCTTCTCACAAGATTTGTTCTCTCACTCTGCAGTCCCCCACCCATTTTCAGTCATGCCTGACCCCCCGCCTCCCCCCTCACTTGCTAACCCCCCTCCACTCCCTTTTTGCTCGCTAATGCAGTGACACCACAGCATAACTGGAGCATGCCGAAGCTCAGACAGGCATGAGTGTTTCATACAGTAGACTGTCAGCCAAGAAGAAATCACGCACAACAATGCAGAAACACAATGGGGATGCGCCCAAGCATAAGCCAGCTATGGCTGGTAAAGTGTCACATTTTTCATGCTTTCTGACCACACTAAATGATGCTAAACACCACGTTTAAGAAGGCAAGAACCTGCAGCTAACAGGGCAGGAAGAGGAGAGGAGGAAAACAGAGTTAACTGGTGAGATAGCTTTGTGAAAAAGAGAATGCCAACATTAATAAGTGAAACACAGGTAGAAAATTTTTTTGTCCGAGCAAGGTGTGGTGACAGGGAGTGATGTGATTTGATCTAGCATAAAAATGCTTTTTGTGTGTCTGGCTGAAGAAGTGAAAGCCCTGGCCCATTGATTTGGCTGTCCAGGGAAAAGGCTCTGCTTGCCCTTGCTGGTTTCCAGAGATGTGTGACACTTCTGCCTCACTGTCACCACCCAAAAAACAGACACGCAGACACCTTCGTCATCACAGTTTTTTTTCTTTTGTGTATGTGTGCATGAGGAAGAGAGGGAGAAAGTGAGAGAGTAGTGAGAATCAGAATCTACACCTTTCCTCACTTAGGCGTATTGATTTCTGCAAGCAGTAAATAGATTTAAAAGATGATGACAAATAAGGTGCGCTGACGGGGAACACTCTCAGAAATGTGGGAACAGCACAATATCCCCTGCTGCATCATAAAATATACGATTTAACTGCCACGCCATAGAACAGGATGGCAAGTTTAATGCCTTACACATGAAAAAATAAGACCTGCAGTGGCATAGAAATATCCCTAAGAGACATAATCACAAATGGCAAGTGACTTGCTTGTGCAACACTGAGCTGATTTTCAGTTCGCCTCAATTGCAATGGAGACTCCTTTTAAAAGGACAGTCTGTAAACTGTTGCTTAGACTTCCAGCAACATCTAATGGTTACTCTGCGTCGGTGTCCGACTCTACAGACACTGATGGAGGATGGGAAGAGGGAGGTGGCTGTCAGCATGCTTCCAATGATCCCCGAGGACAGCGACTCTGGACGCACCTACACCTGCAGGGTTCTTAATCCAGCTGCCCCCGCTGGACGACAGACATCAGTCACCATCAATGTCCAGCGTGAGTGTTTCAGTAATAGATTATCTATATAAACCACCAATATATCACAGCACTATATTAGTGTTCTGTTGCATTGTGAAAAGAGCAGTGCTAGACATTAGATTACTAAAGCCAAATCTAAATCATATATTCATGTCAGTAACATGACCACTTTACTACTTGCAGACCCTCCTTCAGTGACTCTATCAGTCCAGCCTCAGACTGTGACTGAGGGAGCCAAGGTTCTCTTCATCTGCTCGGCTTCAGCCAATCCTGAAATCACTGGATACAGGTACCCATCCTTTGTTTTTATCTCGATTGTCCACTCCAGTTCTGCCACCCTGCACACAGAGCCAGAATGTATTAATGTCTATAAAGATACGGTACAGTCTTTTAGCTATTCCAAGATTTGCTTCAAACAGGCTGTCTAGAATAGAGAAAGCACCAAGCAAAGCAGTGCAAGGATGCCAAACATTTTCCAGGTACACTGAGCTAACTTTAACACACATGGCTAAGTACTTTCTCTGAACTAATGCAACTATATAATGTGATTATTCTTCTGTCCCAGATGGTCAAAAGGAGGAGTTCCTATCTCTGAAGCAAATGGGGACAGCCTCGAGGTGACAGTGGACTACTCCTACTTCACAGACCCCGTCTCCTGCGAGGTGTCCAACTCTGTGGGCAGCACCAATGTCAGCACCCTGGTCGATGTCCAGTGTGAGTTTAACTTTAGGCAAGCAGTGAATGTTGTGTGGTAAGCTGGGTAAGAGATTTTTTAGAGGTTTGTGTTATTTTAAAAGCAGTCTCTTATTGATTGCATCTGGCTGTCTGTGTTGCTTTGCCCTAGTTGGCCCCAGACTTCTGTCAGAGCCAAAGCCAGTGACGGTGGATATAGGGATGGATGCAGCCTTTACTTGTGCATGGACTGGGAATCCTCCTCTGACCCTGGCCTGGACCAAGCAAGGCTCCAGCGTGGTAAGTCAACACTAGTCAACAGCTCATCATGGTGGTAAATTTTAACACCACCCCTCAACACCATCCCTCCAGAGAGAAACATTCACACATGGCCTTGAGGCATGAGTCCTTCACACTTTCTTTTTACAGGCTGAATCTTCAACACCTCCTCTCACCATGCTCCCTCAGGGCTAAAGCCTCTGGCAGAAAACTCTGCCCACTGACAGATTCATACAGCATCATCAAGGCACATGACGTGCTGTCACAACTAACTCAGTCAATCAATCATTCAGTCAGTCAACCAGTGAGTTAAGGTGTGGTTCAAACTAACAGAATTACACCATGCACAGCAACTTTTAGAGCAGCGTCTCAGCTTTTTAGACACTAAAAAGGCCTGACTGCACTTGAGTATCCATTTTCTCAAAGTCGATTTCGTAGGCGGAACAAATGGGACATTTCCACCTTTACTTTACATCATCCTGGTAAAAGTCTTTCAGTGCACACACCATCAGTGGATACATCCCATAGGAGCTTCTCTCCTGGCAGCTAATATAATTTCTGAGGCAGAAGTGCTGCGGGATGGCGTAAGCGATGCTGTCATTTCAAAGAATGAACGCTTTCAGCACCTCTGAGGGAAACGCTGCAGCCATTTTTCTAATCCACCCACTGCCACTGTCCCACACTCAGCCACGAGTAATGGATTAATTGGGCACAGCTTGATGGAATGACAGGATCAATGAGTTAAGGAGTGAGAGAGTACAGCAGCTCCAAAGGCTACAGCCCACTCACACCACAGTATGCTCCGTTCTGTCCTCACTGTTTTTAATTACAGCAATCTCCCCGGCAGCATGGTTACTCAGCGGTGGCTTGGTGGCTTGAGTGCTTAATGCTGTGATTACAGCTCTTCACAATGAAATTAAACTCAAACCAGAAGCATTTGTTACAATGGTCAGCCCACCTCTGTGCTGCCTCCACAGTGAGTGGGCCACTGATAAAAGTCTCAGTCTCCTTTGTCTGCCTCTACTCCCCATCGCCTCACTCTGTCCCCCAGCACACATCTCACTTGTCTCACTGGATCTCTCACTAGGTGCTCAGTAATGGTAACACCTTGCAGCTGAAGGCTGTTACCCAGGAGGATGCTGGAACATACACCTGCAAGGCCATCGTGCCCCGGATCGGCGTCGCAGAAAGAAATGTTATTCTAACTGTAAATGGTGAGTGGCTTCTTTTCAGAGTGTGTGAGGTTGCTTGTAATGTTTTGACCAATCTTTTGAATAAATAGCATGAAAATTAATATCCGACAGCTTGGTATTGGTCAGTATTTCAAAATATCTTTATTTTATTTATTTATTTTTTTACATTTTTCTGCTCTGCTCTGCTCTCTGTGTTTCCTTCTTCTTCACACCAGGTCCGCCTATCATCACAGCAGATGCCACACAGCATGCTGTGAAGCACTCCAAGGGCAAGCTGGAGTGCCGGGTGGGAAGCAGCCCCCCACCTGACAAGATTGTAAGTGAGCCTTTCAGTTGTGTTGTACATCGTTCATTTATGTTTAGGAGCTTACATACTTTATGAAACTCGCAGCCACACCCACTTAAGAGCGAGTGATCACTCAGTGTAACTTCACCCCTGATCTCACCATCACACCTTTGCAGCAGCACATTTCCACCTCCCACCCTTCCAAATACATATACACACATTTTCAAAACTAATTACATAGACACTGACTGGAGAGATTGGAGAGTTGGGGGGAGCTGCAGGAGACTGGATTCCTGTGGTTTTCAACCAAACTGCATTCAATTAGCGGCCCAAGAGTCATCACTCGCCTGACCCTGTTGAACTGCTGTGTGCACGCTGGGCTGAGAGAGGATAATTAGGGTGTGAGAAGGAGTGAGAGACAAGTGCCCTGCTGGCCCTGCGCTAGAGACAGCAGAGACGAGTCTTATTTCATAGTGCAGCCACCCAACCCTCCTTAGGCCTCACCTACAGGGCAGATGTGGGAGGCAGCTTAAACATGAGCCTATGAGCTATATCAGCCACAAAGCACCTCAGAGGTTGGCAGAGAGAAAGAAGAAATGAGAGAAACTGGTGTTCATTCAGCGGCAGGCAGGGGTCTAAGGATAAACAGCGCTGCAAGCCTCTGCTTTGCTCACCAGTGAAAGTGACTTACTCAATGTGGTCTGTTCCCTTCTTTCCTTCCATAGGTGTGGACCTTTGGTGACATGAGCCTATCTTCTGGTTCATCCGGTCGTTACTCAGTGCATACAGTAACCAGCGACCATGGAGTCCTGTCTTCTCTGGTGCTATCTGAGACTCTGGCACAGGATTTCCAGCTACGCTACAACTGCACTGCTTGGAATCGCTTTGGCACTGGCACCGCCCTTGTCACACTGAAGGAGCAAGGTATACACTGACACAAGTAATAATCCCCACCAGAGCCCTTTAGAAGCATTATTCTCGGTCCTTGCTGTGAAGCTGGCCAAATTAGGAGAATGCAATGCTTCTGACTTGCTTATCTTAATTATACTTCTCTAATCAATATGATTTAATCAGCAGATGGTTCCTTTAATGAATATCTTTGCCCAATAAAATAGATATTAATTGGGGACAGGAGTCAATTAGAGAAAGCAACGTGTTTACGCTTCAACTCATATTTTCCATCACTGTCCTGTCTCAGAAGCAAGTCCAGTGTCTCAGGATGAAGCCAATTTAAGTTATCTTAAAATTAAACAACAGTACTTTTAAACTAATGCTACTGGAAGCCTTTGTTGCAGCAGACACCAAATATAAGGTCCTCACCAGTAATTTACATCAATGTAGCAGAGTGGTGTCTCCAGAGAAATGGCCAGTGGTATCTCCTGGAATCTCTAATTAGATTACTGTCTATTGCTTCATTGCATGTCAGGCCTTGTTACCCTCCTTTCAGAGAGATTAGAGACAATAGCCAGGCTGTAGGATGCTGGACTGCCGACATGAGCATACTGTAAGCCCTGACTTGTGAGCAGGCCCAGTGAATTATATAGGCACTGGCATTTCTGGGATTAGCAAGACAAATGAATTGAGCTCTTTCTTTCATTTGCTCTTATCTGCTTATTCTTGACACTGGCACTTATGCTATACCATCTCTCATGTCATCCCTCCCCATCTCTTGACAATGATCTACCCCCACCCGCTCTGCCACATTTTTTATTACTGTTGTATTACAGAAGCCCTGCCTATGTTGATAATTGTTGGTGGAGCAGTAGGTGGAGGCTGTGTCCTGCTCATCTGCGTCATCACTCTGGTCTCCCTCTGCTGCAGGCATACAGGCAAAGGTGAGCTCAATGGTTAGTATGGGCAAGAGGGTCAACACACCGGTCTTCAAGTGAAACAGATTACAATCTTTCACTTGTGACCTAAAACTGAACAATTTTCTGCCTTTTCCCTTTCCATAGAATTTTTATGTCATATTTAGTGTAGAAGTCTACATGGTACTGTCAAATAAAGCACTTTTCAATTCCCATAGGTAAAAGGTGCACTCGTCTTTCCAAGAGTGACATCAGAGTGCAGATTGTTCACAGTGATCACAATGCTACACGTAGCAATGATGATGAGGAGGATGTCAAAGAACCCATGGTAAGTCTCTTTGTTCACCGTTTCTGTTTGCACTTACACATTAATACTGAAACATACGGTAATGCCCAGACCTTTTTGTTTTTATTCAAGTGGGGTCTTGTTCAACTCAGTAATTTTTCAAAAATACTTGGTCTTCCCTCAGGCTCCAAACAGCAGCGAATCTCCTGGGACATCACGCACAGAACACAGTGACCTCCTGGAAGAGGAGGAGGATGAGAGATCAGACATAAAGGTAATACTTTAAATAGCAAGTTTGCATTATCTATATCTATTATACACAATATAGGATTATGCAAAGCACAATTTTTTTTCCTCCTCTCACAGGATCCCACCAATGGCTACTACAATGTCCATGGCCATGAAGACCGTCATATTCGCAGCAGTGGATTCTCTGAATATGTGCCCAACTCTCGGCCAGTCTACACTCCATCACAGCTGCCCTCCCCCAGCCCCATGTACGGTCAACATGGCACCCAGCCTCGTGTCTATGATTTCTCCCAGCGATATGCAACCACCACAGTGAGCAGAACCACATACGAACAGCAGCAAGCCACCCAACAGCAGGCTGCTCAGCCTGCCAGTATTTATCCCACTGACCCCCTCTACAGTGGCTCCGCCTACCTACCTGCTACCTATGGTCGCGCCTTCACCAGTTACGTTAAGCCCGCTTCGTATGAGAAGGTTGATGCATATGACCAATCAGATCAGGCCAGCAAGGTGTCCAGCTCATCCCGCTTCTCATATGCTTCTTCACAAGTGTCCTCCCAGCAGTCTGACTATGGCCGACCTTCACAGCGTATGCAGACTCATGTCTGATTAGATTGAAAAAATAATAATAATTTGGAGAAATACAAGTGCAGGAGCAGTGAGTAGCTAACCAATGTCACCTCCACATACATGTGTGGATGGACTAACACAGAGACTTTCTTTACTCAGACAGTCCTTTGAGGATATGTGTGGACAGCATTTGGAGGCGGTCACACGATTTAGGTTATGGAATAACCAACCTGTTTGTTGTCACCAACAGTAATGATAACCGCAGAGCTCCTGAGCTGGAGAATTCAGAAGGTTGCGATGTCTGTGTCAAACCTTACACTGATTACATTGACTAAACTGATTCCAGTTTGATACCTCGCCAGATTATCTCTATACGATAACCACCCAGACCTGTGGAGACCCTGTCAGTGCAAGGGCCATCTAGAAAATAAATCAAGTGCACCTCCTACGGTAAATGTGGGTGGCCGAAACGATCGGGGTTGTTGTTTACCTGCATTCCAGAGTTTACTTTATGGCAACACTAAATGTCAAACATGAGTGCTAAAATACTTTGAAAGAAGATTTTACACATTTGAGGAAAACAAACTGATATGAACAACCTATTGTTGTCTGTCATTTGGTGTTTTGTTGGCATGCGAAAGGAATTCTAAGCACATTTGTGTCTCTATCCCTAACACAATGCTGAGCTATTCATAGAGACAGATATATACAATTCCGCACAACAGGCTAGCTCTACTGACCAACAAGTGCTACAGGCACTGTACTGGATGAAGAGTCTAATCAGCGGCGGAAAATACTTCTGGTCCAAGCTGTATTCCTGGAGCTTCTTCTGATAAAATCCCTAACAAGTTGGACTTGAGATATGAAGAGAATGAAGGACTAAATGTAACAGTGTGTTGAACCAAGATGGACAAAATAAGGCCATGAAAACCCAAAGATGGTGATAACTGTATAGGAGAAAACAGGGGCTGAGGCTGAATACTGCTGTCCTACCCCTGGTGCTGTCTTCTACTGTGTTTTCTGATTGTAAAATAAGGAGTAATGCTATTAGCAGAACAATCAAAAGTGGTGGCTTGGAAAATGGTGGCAATCTTTAAATAAAAATGAAAATGAATGCGGCGTCAACTTCGGCAGGCTCAGGTGGGGTAAGAGGTCAGTCCTAATGGTGGAGTTTACACTGAAGTTTTACAACTCAATCAAATTGTCTTAATATGTTTACAAGAAACAGTACTACCCTGAAACACTAAGTATCTGTACAAATGGCTGAGCCGATACCTTCTCTCTGTTGCATGCAGATTATGTGTCTAGTGAAAATCTTCAACATTTATATTCATGTCCATTTCATGTTCTGTACCTGGCCCAGTTACATTCCACTTTCTGGATGTTTCAGTGCGGACGCCTGTACTGCCATTTGTCTAAAAAGCTCTTACCAGGCAGCCTGATGAGAGAACAAATGCCACTTAAAGTGAGGAGGCAAACATCATCGCTTGTCTTTATTTTTATATTTTATATAAGCCTTAATGTACAGCGTGTAAGCTGCTCTATTGTAAAGTATCTTTATATACATATGTATCTTTCTTGGTTCATTTATTTGGGTCCACAGATTTTCTTCTCTAAGTTGGTCATCAATCACTGAATGCCATTAATATGCCGTTTTTGGAACATGACTAATTGCCATTGGTTTATTCTTTTAATAATGTATTAAGAATTTTATTTGCTAAAAATGAGCTATCATTGCTTGTACCTTTGTACACATATTTATATTTAAATAAAACCCATTTCCGATAAAGAACTGGCTGGTGTGAATAGTGAGAATTGCTCAGCCTGGTGAGTAAATTCATCGGGCATGAGGAACAGCGACAAACAAAGCTTCCTGCGTAGCAACAGTGATGAATACATAAATTAGCAGCTCTGTCTATGTTGATTTTCCTATTCCCCCAGTGGTGTGCTGCTTTTAATGAAGACAGATAAGATAGTAGAACCCCCATTGTATGTGTAACCACGTCGTGAAGCCGCTGTGCCCATCTCATAGGGTAATAGGATAGAGCTGTGACAAAGGTAGGCATTATTTGACTACGAGTTCATCTTGTCACCCCTGTTCCCCAGGTAGGCACACTGTTCACGATGGGGAGGGGAGTTACATGCTCATTACACTTCTGCTGTGAGAAGGGACAAGGTCTTACAAGACATTACATTGTGCATAATAAATGTAAACAAGACCCCATCAACAACAAATAATACAAGCAATGCAATTTGGTACTGAGGAATCAGATAAAACATTTTATTTTCATGACTCTTTCTTATAAAAACATATGCAAACAAAACAATACAAAAGGATACAACATCCATAATCACAGTCACAGTGTATAATGTTTATGAAAACATGTTCTAAAAGTTGTGACCATCCCTTGCTTTCTGAAAACTATACAGTACATTCACACTCACATAGTTTAACTGTAACGCTCTATGGATTCAATATAAAAAGGTCCACTGAGCAAGATCCTCAACTAATTTCCTTAAATTTTTTCCCCCTCAGTAAATAATACTAATGCAGATCTTTGGTTTGCTTATCCAGCATAATATTTCCGTGAGGTGAAGCAAATCAAGTAAAAGAAAGCATGTGGTTAAATCTTAGATTTGAAAGTTGATTGAGCTGTTCGTGTTCAAAGAGAAAATTCTCATGTGGTTAAGAACTCATTGCATTGTTCTGGTAACTTGTGAAAGCCCCATTGGTTTGCTTTGGCTTTGAGGTGTGTATCTCAACTAGAAATCCATGTAAAAGCCAACTGCTTCTCATCCTCAGGCTGAAAACTATTTAAAACCGAAGCGTTACTTCAGTCTCATATTAGTTTTCTCTCGAGGACCATGCTGGTTGGTGTCTGTTTTAGCCCACAGACTACTTAACATTACTGCTGGCGTATTTCCAAAACAAACCATGGGCTTTTAGATTGATTAATGCATTTTCTACTTTCCAGGCAGTTTGTTGTTTTTCATTAATTTTAGTAGAACACAATATGAAAATGCCCCTGTGTGGATGAAAGCACCATGTTGTTTTGGTTGTTTTTTCCTCTTCTTTGTCAGACTTCTGTTATCACCACATGTTAATGCAATTGTCTCTGCAAGCTGATATTTGTATTCTACAGATAAACACAGACTAATGGCTGCCTGGCAGATAGGTAGGTAGATAAAAATGCTATAATCGGTTGAAAAACCAGGGCAATGCTTTGGAAAACGGTCAGCTGTTTTAAATGAGTATTTTGTAGGAAACAGGCTAAATGTTCCTGTGCTTTAAAATATTGGAAAAATAAAACCCCTAATTTATCGCTATACACGGCATGAAACCACTGGCAAAATGCCAAATTCACTGCAGCCCAAAAGCATGAAGGCATCTCACCCTTTAAGAAATACATAATACTAAGTCTTAACAACATTTTAAAATTCATAAAATGTTCCAATGTTGCATCCATCTCAAAAGGTAAAATTTTACAAATACTGGGAAAATGGTTGCCAAAATTTACATATTTCATTATTTATAGTGAGAACCACACACTAGTAAGAATTGGATGGGGATAAAAGACACTGATTTTTATACCTTTAAAACTATACACGTGTGAGTCACTGTGGTTTATGTGGACTTAAGTTGGGGAAAAGGGGGCTTGCAAATAAAGTGCTCCAAGTCATTCATGTGAGTAGCTGAGTCCGTGTCCTCAGTTTGCTGCTAAATGAAGAAACATGTCCTGAATCAGACTGAAATGTTCCTCCATTATTTTTAGCACTTTGATGTCATTTCCCGCTCTACATACCTCACTGATCCTCATAACATCATCAAATTCCTGCCTCCTTTGTCACCCAGTCTCTCAGCTTGGTGACGCGCGAGTAGACACCGGGCTTGTTCCTACGAGCGCAGCCCTCGCCCCAGCTCACGATACCGGCCTGGAACCACTTCCCACTCTCCTCAAAACACACCAGGGGGCCTCCAGAGTCTCCCTGGTGAACGTAGTCAGGGGAGAACAGTTATTAGATTGGGTTGGGATGTGACAGCATGATAATTACGAGTGGAGAACATGTCGTATGATCTCACCTGGCATGCATCGACTCCTCCAGTCAAGAATCCACTGCAGAGCATCCTGGAGGTGAGTTGGCCCTCGGTGACCACGTTACACACCGTGTCATTGATGATTTTCACAGATGCCTTCTGTAGCAGCTGTGTCGGTTGACCTGCAAGAACAGGACAAAGGGGTGAGCGTGGTGCCACGTGACCTCTGTGCTTGTCACTAACATCAAAAGGTGTTAATGGGCTGGATGAGTGTTAGCTAATGATAGTTTAAGAGCCTTCCCAGGAAAGCTAATGTCTGACTTGATATATACATGGAAGAAGGCTTAATGGAATAGAGCAGATTAGAAAAAGATAAAAGAAAATGGAGGGGTTGAGCAGAAGAGAGGTATGTCATGATGGGAGAGAAAAACAAATGAGAGGGACATTAAAGAAAATAAAGAATTAGGATGAAGGGAGAAAGAGAAGAAGAAGAAAGCAGGCAGGGAAAGAAGTTGAAGGATGGACATGAATAGCTCACTGTAAGAAGGATGGGGGTGGTGTGGGATATCTTAATTTTGATGCGAGTTGGATATACATAAAAGAAATACACAACTGAAGAGTGGGTTAGCCATAATTGAAGAATAACAGTATAAATGTTGAAACCAGTATAACGGTTACAGTGGAGGAAAAAAAAAAAAAAAGTTCACTGCAGTTCTACCCAGAATCACCAGTTCATGCATAATACCTCCTTCTCTGAGCGCGCCCCAGCCTGTGACCCAGCAGGACATGCCTGCAGGGAAGACGTGGGAGGGAGAGGGTAGGCAGATGGGTTGGATGGTGTTACTGAACTTCAGTGGCTCGCTGAGCTCCAGTAGTGCAATGTCATAGTCAAAGGTCATACGGTCGTAATTCGGGTGGGTGATGATCCTTTTCACTGAGCGGCGCAGTACGCCATCCTGTTTGTACTGGTCTTGCATGCCACTGTAGGTCTGCCAGTTCATGGCAACATGGTTCCTGTGTTAACATGTACAGCATCATGGGGCAGAGGTTCTGTTTCTATACATGCATAAAGTAGTATGGATGGATGCAATATCACAAGCACATATGCTACTTTTAAGGTTGTGAGGTTTACTTTCTGAGACAGCATCAGAAAGGTGCTGATTTAGTGAAGAGGTTATAATATGAAGCAATTCAGTACAAGACCACCATAAACTACAGCCTCAAAAATGACAGCTCTAACAGTCTCAATAAAAGTGAATATTATAAGAAGCTACTAGCTGCCACATTATTTCATAGGATGGCATTGAATTTGCATGATATTTTACTACTTAGGCTAAAAGATATGGTATATGATGATATACAGTACTGTAAAAACTGAACTGAAGAGAACTGCAGAAAAGAAAACCTTATTGGTGGAAAATACTCTCAAATTAAATAAACAATAATTACATAAACAATATCAGCACTAGCTGTGAATCTGAAATTACCATATTCCCTGCTCAGTTACAACAGAAAGTGGCTCAAGTTGACCAGCATGGCTAGTGCGCCACCTACAGGACACTGATGAATATAGCTGCATGCCTTCATGGGTGAGATGCAAATTTAATTTTCTGAATTAACTCTGTCATCAGGGGTCAGTTTTCAGACCTTTGTATATAAATGGTCTTGTTTTCCACAGTTCTGTTACTTAGCTGCACAATTCATATGACAATACATTTAATAAAATGTTAAATTACATGGGAAATCATAACAGTTTATAGACAAATAGAAAAGAGGGAAACTGCCTTTCACATGTGTACGAGTGTTATAGATGTTCAATGTGGAACTCACTCCGGGTCGCTGGTGACAAAGCAATGGGAAGCTGAGAGGAGCCACTTGTCAGAGATGATGGAGGCACCACAAGCGTGTCCATTGGTCTGGAAGTGAAGGCTGACCTGCCAGGGCCACTCGCCCAGCTCAGCGTTCTGACCCCCCACGATGCGGTTCAGATAATAAGGCCTGGTGCCACAATCTGTTATTTGTGTGATGAGACAAGAGAGGAACCCAAAAAATAAATAAATAAATCTGAAAGAGGGATTAAGTTGACTTGAAGCCATCATGGCGCTGGCCTTGGCTGTGAATGGTACTAAGCCTCTTTGGAATCCTAATAAGGCACACTGACATATTAGCTGATCCAAAAAAAAAAAAAACTTCAGAGATGCCAAGAGGTGCTTTCAAAGAAGAATGAAATAAATAAGTAGTCAAGGCCTGGGGCTCTTTTCTAACAGGCAGCCCAGTGCGCAGTACAACCCAGCTCTTCTAGAATCTCTTCTAAAATTTTTAAAAAAGAGGTGAAGAAATTAAAATATTTCTTACCGCAGCTGGCCTCATCCGAGTTGTCAGAGCAGTCACTAACACGATCGCATTCGGCATTCACTTTGTTGACACATTCCTGGTTCAAACACTTGAAGCTGAATTCAGAACAGATACCCGGAGCTACAGTGGGGTGGAGACAGATCCCAAAATCAAAACACATAGCATACTTCAATCAAGGTGTTAGAGTTTTTGAGGCAGAGCAAGTTTAACCAGTAAAATACTATGCAATCAGCAAGGCTTTAAAGTGAGGCTTGAATGCACAATGCATAGTGATTGAGGAGCAGACTGCATTGATTGGGCGTATTGATTGGGGTTGAGGTCTAATATCGCTCTTTATTCACAGAAGTGAAAAATCAAAAGGAAATGCAAGAGTGCCCTCTGCGTAGTGTATGACAGGGTGAGTGAAAGGGAAATTGATAAAGAGTGAAGGTGTGAGTATGAGGGAATTAAAGACTGAGAGGAAAACGCATTACATTGAAAAATACTTTTAATTAAGAATTAAGTCTCCAGTGGAGCATGTTTTTCCAAACCGAAAAAAAACCCTCTACTGAGCTGTGGATGAAGGTTAAGTGCTTAATGTAGAACATGCTTAGAATGACAGGCTAAGGAAGACAAGACGAGCTGCCACTCACAGTCTTTACAAGAGGCCTCGTCGCTTCCATCTGTACAGTCCTGCTTTTTGTCACACACAACGCCTTGTGGCAGGCAGTCTCCGTTCCCACAGCGCCACTCGTTCTCCTCACAACCTGGAGACAAAGAAACAGAGTGAAGAGGAAATTATAATAGAATAAAGATGAAAACTTGAATAAGGAATTCAGGCAATGCTTCAGAGGGACATTAGCGGTGCAGCCATGTTGGACATCAAATCTGTCTCCATTCTTCTTGCTTGTATTACACATGATTAAGTGTCCAGAGGATGCAGAGAAAATTGGGCAAGGCTTCAAACAAACTCCATTACTGATAAAATAATGACTTCACACAGCCCAGGAGTCAGTGACCAGAGCATTAGCAGTGATGTTCCTTTAATGTTAGTACAATTAACTTAGCATTAGATAAGAGTTGGATCCCCTAAAGAGTGCTTTAAGGGACGGGGATACTTACCGCAACGTTTCTCATCGCTCCCATCTCCGCAGTCATTGACACGATCACACACCCACATTTTTGGCTTGCACAAGCCATTCAAACATGAAAACTGGTCCTTTTCACAGTCTGAGGTGAAAGAAATGCAGTGTATTTAGCAATGAGGAGCAACAGAGGAAATGTAAATATGGATTATTTGAAAATGTATGTTTTATATAAATGAGATAATTACAGAAAGATAATGATTGTAGCCTTAAGTCAGAAGAGAAGATCAAGACCATTCATGTCTGTACGTAGAATATGAAGCTACAAACAGCATAAGGACTTGAAATCTTTAGCCTGTCTGAAAGTAACAAAATCTGTCTTCTACCACCTTTATGTTCACTAATTAACACATTAGTTTACTTAACTTGCATTAAAACTTGTACATAGATAAAACGTCTAGGGTGGTGGAGAATCTTCTGGAATGCGTGACGGTTGAATTACTTTTGGAAAAAAAGAAAAATGTTGTAATAAGATGTATTTATAGAGCACCTGGAGTCAGCATAGAAAAATTTAATGACTGGATGGAGGAGAACTACTCGACAATAAGTCAAACTAATGTTCATATGTGGTGACTTCAATATAGATTTGTTAAACCCTAACAAGCACTCAGGAACTGAGGAGTTTATTAACACATTATATAGATGCAGTTTATACCCCAAAATTACAAAACCAAGTAGAGTAACAACCCAGCATGCAACACTAATAGATAATATATTTACTAATGATATTGA